AAACCAAACCCCCCCCCCCCCCAAAAAAAAAAAGCTGAATAAATAATGATGTAGATTCCAAATATGCTCTCAGCAAGCTCCTGCATTAATTATTCAATAATTTGATTAAAATCTATGTATTATCATAAATAACATCAATAAAATGTTATTTAGAACATTATTAGAACTGCAGCAGTAATGTATATCTATAATATTTTTGCAGGAGAAATGATTGTTGTTTTTGTTTTTAATAACATAAGATCGATTTTAACTTATGGTTTTTTTACTTCTAAATACATACCAGACAGACACAAGTATTTTTCCTCAAGATTATCATAACATGTAGAAAACTGTTACAAATTAAATAGGGCTTTAAACTAAATGTTCTCATTGTCATGGTCGCCACTGTTTCTTAATCCAACATTCTACCTTAAGCGCACTTGATCCACGCCAACGGATCCTGGCTGCTGTCCACAGACAGGCTGCAAACATCTAAGCTTGAAATCCTAAACCAGGGCAACACCTTATTCTGGGAATTATTTGTGAGTCAGTGATGTGTGAGGTATGCTGCTGCTGCTGCTGCTGCTGCTTAACCCACTCAGTTGCTATCGAATTGATGCGGAGAGATACCAGTAGAATGAAGAATAAGTAGAAAACACAGAGACAAACAATGCTTTTCATCTCAGCAGCAGCTGTCAGTAATATGTTTACAGCAAAATAAAGGGTTTTAATTTCTTAATTTGTTATTAATTTGTTGTACAACACGAAAATGTTTGACATTATGAATTAGCTTAGTACGCGTACCTGCGCAGGTTGGTCCGTATCCTCCAACAACTTTGTATCTTCCGTCCCTGGCTGACAGCGCGCGCCGGGTTCTCATCCGGTCGGGAGGAAAATCACCGCCCTCGTGGGTTGTTGCTTCTCACGTCAAACTTCAAAACCAGCGAAGCTTCATGTGTAAACTCCTGGTGTCGATGGAAAGCTCCTCAGCCGTTCATCCAGCTCGCGCTCCTCCCCTCCTCTTCGCCCCCCCGGACTGACACCGACTGCGAATCCAAACCTGGATTTTTCCTCCTTCCGCCGTCTGCGCGCGAGATCCAGGGGCGCCGCCACGGGGTGGGCCGGGAAGGGGGCCACTGTGTTAAATGATTTGTTAATGTAACAAATATTACATAAATGTCTCAGTTCATGTACATCCACTCAGTACCTGCTTGTTGCTTCTGCTTGAATTACAACATTAATGCAGCAGGACTGTAAACAGCCTGGGGTTCTGCAGAGGCTTTAAAGAAGACTAACTTTCAGTTTGTTGTTTGCTCATTTTTCTCCTGTTTAGGTCAGAGGAATTAAACCAGAAAGAAACGTCACAGCATTTAAGCCAGGTATTTTAAAAATATTATTATTATTATTTCCTTGATCTAATCCCATTGGGATCCATATCTCATTTGCACGAGGGACCTGGGTATAAAATCTGCAACACACAACAACCTGCTAATGCAAAAGTAAAACAAATTAAACCATATACACAAGTTTAAAGCAAATTACAAAACTGTTTAAAAGAAATAAGATGGATTAATAGAACAACATCATTGCTTTTGACAATATGGCAAGCTCTGGAGTAAAATGAAACCAGAAACCTTGATAAAGCTCACCAGGAAAAAAGCATGTAGTGCATTAACATTTATTAAAGTTCGATTCTCCACCCCTGGTACCTTGATTATTTTTTTCTTAATGAAGTGCTGATCATATGTTTTTATGTGAAAAGGGACTTGGGGCATCTTAGTCCAAATAAAATGCACCCAGTTTGTCTCTGGTTTTGGAATGGCTTAACCCAATATCACCAGTAGATCCCATACCTTTGATGTATCCCCGTTAAGCTCTCAAAATGGGATTTTCTTCCCAATCCACTCAAGGAAGTTGCTATATGTGCTGTTTATGTACTTTTTTCTCCCCCAGCCACTTCTTCCTTCCACTAAACTTTCTATTAACATGTTTTGGATGCCATCAACTCAGCTCTTTCCCATGCGCACCATGATGTAATATTTGTGTTAAAAGTATTTTCTATTAGTCTAAAAATAAGTCAGTTTTCCACAAAAACTGAATTTAGGGTTTTCATCTGCGGCAAGCAAAATATCAAATGCTCAAAATGCATCCATTGTTCAAATATTGAAGCCTCACAATTTGAACTGTACATATATTTTAGTGTTATTTTGTTTCAGATATACATGTATTAATTAGAAAAATGTGAATTTGTCATTCACTCCCAGTCCTACCTTGTCCATTTTAATCCAATCTTTATATGAAAACTACCAGTAATACACTTTCCTTATACTGACCTGTCTCCTCCAATCTATAGCCATATTGTGGAGCATCTTGTTTTCATCGTGCTTTGTGTGTGTACAGTTCACCTACAGCTTAAGGCAACGGTAAACATAGTGTGTTTTGTACACTTTTTCATCGGGGCGGAATTCAAGAATGACGAAAGCTTGGATTGGTCTCTTATTTATTAACAGACAATTGTTCTGCGAATGTGGCTTCTTCAATAAATTATCAGCTTTTGCACAAAACTAATTAGTTAAGGCATGCTTAGTGAGGCAGAAGTTGCAAAAAAACAAAAAAAAAAACAAAAAAAACAAGGTGTAGTGAAACACAAAGGACCCTCATGGCACATGCATAAGAAGGTTGATTTCTCAGGTGAGAGGAATGAAACGGCACGTTAGCGTTTGAACACTGGAACAAGAACAGTTTACATCGAGAAAAACAACGAGAAGCTTAAAAACACAGTGAACAGCTTCCAGTCTCTTACATGGAGTGTTTCTTTAGAAGACAGGAGTGCATAGACGGGAAAACGGCAGCGTTTCCTGGAATCGACGGGGCTCAACAGGAATGTGACCAACATGCTCTGCCAATGGATCTTCAAAGACAGTAAGAGGTGTTGCTGCAGATTGTTAGCGCCACGTTTGCAAAGCCTGTTTTTTTTTTTGTTTACTTTAAATTCCTAAGAAATGAAATTACAGCTTAAAAAATAAAATAAAATTGGTTGTGCTTTTAGAAGCACATGAAATGAGTCTTTATTATTAAGAACTTTCACAATGAACAATTTCTATTTCAAGCCAGGCAAAAAGCTGCAGCGGCCCCTCCTAATTCAAAATAAAACCATTTAAAATCTTCCCAGGTAAAACACTGCATTAATTCAACTTCTATACCAAATCCTGTAAAAGAACAAACAAAGGAATTAAATTGGGGGACTCCCAGAATCTTGAAATGCATAGCTCTGACAATCAACTTGTCTACGGTGAGATGATTGTGGTTTTATTGTCCCGTGAGGCTGCTGACACCAGGCCAGTAGGTGGCGACAGAGTTGTCTACGATCTCAGGAGGTTCGGTTCAGCTCGGCTCAGTATGTGAGCGGGCTCAGGATGAAGAGACGATCCTCCTCCCTCCGGATCCACTTTAGGAGCTTGTTTACGGCAGAATACGCCAGAGCCTTAGTCGCCAGCGGACTGAAGCAGAGGTAGAGCTCGAAGCCGCTTGTCACCTGCAGGCCAGTAGAAACAACAAAAATGCAGGAAAGGTGGCATGAAAATGCAGCAGGGTGTAACATTCCCTTAAGCTCCCCTACTAAAGATATTTTTTTTTTTTTTAGTTTTTTGATTTTTTTTTTTTTTTTATTTAAATTTTTCTAGGAAACAAGATGGTAAAACTACAAAACAAATTCCCAGATTTGAAATAACAGAAACAGCTTGGACTGGTTTCAGCAGGTTCTCATTACACAACTAAAACACCGAGGATCTCATACTTTATAAAAGCTCCTGCTGTGGGATCACAGCCTGCAGGATTCATCAAGCCAAGTAAAACCAAATGAAAGCATCAAACTCCAGAGACAAAGTCTGAAAGGTAAACAATCCCACCAGTAGGTGGCAGTAACAGAATACTCTCAGAATGCACTCCACACAAAAAATTTCAAGGGCAGCAATTTAAAATACTTTATCCAAAAAGTGAATTGATTCAGATAAGAGTTTTTTCTTGTTTTTATTTTTTTGTTTCTCAAAATTCTGATGTTTAGCTTTTGAATTTTTTTTTATCTATTTATTTATTTTTAATATGAGGTCATTTGTGAGTTTTGGAATTACTTTTGATGTTGGTTTCATTCTAAAATCTTATTTCCATTTACAATAATGAATCTACCAACTGATGAAGCTGAACTTATACATCTCCAAAAAGTAGAATTGTACTTTACAAAGCATTTATTACTGTTTTACAGTAACATTCTTATTTAACTTGAACAAAATCTGCAGCTATTGTCCCTTTAAGTAGCATCAACTGCATGTAGAGCTGCTCAATATACAGCACCACAATTGTCATCCTCAAACTAATATTTGTGATTTTGTAGTTGGGAAGTATTGCTTGAAAGTCATTTTTGGTTGCCTATAATATTACAGACGTGTGATTGAGAGCAATAAAAAAAGTGTCTGAAAGAATATTAAATATTGAGTATTCACTGAACTCCAGTCTAGAACCACACAGCATTCTGGGGGATGTAGGAAGAGGAACTGCTGAAACTCTCACGATAAACTAAGCAAGGCTAGAGGCATCAACTGCAGCATCCAGACACCGACTTGAAGGAGGTGAATAATTATGCAATTGTTTATTTTATTTAAAAGAACAATTTTTTTTCTACAATCTGCACTCCATTTCAAGCAGTGTGGAATTCCTTAATAAAAGCAAAAATGCAGCTTCTGCTGTGATATTTTTACGTTTTGACAGAGACATCCACCCACCATGGCCAGCAGGTTCTCAGCTTCACCGCAGCGGTAGAAGGAGCGCAGCGGTCTGGTCGGGTGGTGCAAACAGCTGTGAAGGTCCTGGTAGAGTCCCATCAGCCTCTCCTGCTCCTCATCAGACTGGTACACCTCAGGTATCTCTGGACTGGACAAAAAAAAAACAAACATAAAAGTACTCAAAAAACATCCAATATCTCAGTTAGAGGATAAAAATGAGCATTTTCACTAGAGTTGCACCGATCCAATATTAAATACTACAAAGGTGTTGAAATGGCACTAAATTATGTATAATATTTGTAAATGTTGGTTATTGGCCATAACAGCAATATTCGAACAAAATTTTCATATCGGTGCATTGATAGTTTTTCAGTGTCAGATTGGTGTTGGCTGATACCAAACCTCAGATATCGGTATCTGAACCAAAAGAAAAAAGTGGATCGGTGCATTCCTAGTTTCCGCCAGACGTTGACCTCTCACCTGGTGTACAAGCCTGAGCTCTTCGACTTGTACAGGAAGTGCCTCAGCTCTGGGATTCCGACCTGCACCACCGAGTAGCTCTGGCACTTGAGCGCCTCCTTCATGGCCTGGTAGGCGCTGCGCTTACTCAGCCTCTCCATGAAGCGCTGCTTGCAGTCCGACATGTTGAAGAAGTCCTCCCTGTCGGTGGAGACCAGGATGAGGCAGAGCTCGGAGCCGGGCTCCAGGTAGGAGATGTGGGCGTGGAAGAAGCCCGCCGTGTTGAACTTGGGCAGGCAGATGGGCGTCCAGCCCTCGCCCTCCCGGAACGACGAAGACGAGCCGACGAGGTTGAAGACCAGGTGCAAGTCTATGTGGTGCAGGAACTGGTCCTTCTTGCGGACCAGCGTGACCAGGCGGTCGCCGGCCAGCAGGATGGAGAACACCAGGTTCTTGGCCTTGGCCGCCTGCAGGCTGGACGACACCACATCCCTGGCGGAACTGGCCAGGGGCAGGCAGGTGACGGCGCTGAGCAGCAGGCCCGGGTCGCGCTCCAGCCGGTGCAGCAGGTTGTCGGTGAGGTACTCAGAGCCGGCCAGCAGGCGACGCAGGTCGTAGTTCTGCTTGTGCTGGAAGATGTGGTTGAGCTGGGTCAGGGTGAGCAGGCTGACGATCTGGTAGTAGATGTACTGAAGCTCCCGGAGCAGCTCCTTCTCCGACTGACTGCTCTTGGCCACGCCCACCAGGACCAGAGGACTCTTAGTGAGGAAAACCACCTTACAGCCGTCTGGGAGCCGAGACACAGAGGGGTCAGGTTGATTAGCTGCTTTGCTGAACGCGTTACCAATCACCAATCAATCAATATTATATGTTATTTTACCACAATTTAAGATAAGGGAGCATTAATTGACTTGACTAGTTTTACTAAAGTATCAAACTCAGCATATCAGGGACAAAACCTGACTGAGTTAATACCAAAGCGTCCTCTGACCTGCGTGGATGGAGCGGATGATGTTCTTCTCCGCCTCTACAAAAGACACCAGCGCCATCATCACCCCCATGGTGCTGGACAGGGCCTCCTCTGTGCCGTAGCGGGTGTAGATCGGCTTTCCGGCCTCG